ATAGTTGATTACCATTGGCCACAGTGCCTACCCACTACTTTTTGGTCTAATAAATATTTTTTTTATATACATACATGCAAACATACTGGTCTCCCCTCTCATTGAGCTATTCACCAATCATGTAGGGTTGCCTGCAAAAAATCGTACATAAAATATTATTGCCAAGCTATAAAGTTCTTGAATTTGATAGGTGCGAGAGAGAAAGTAGAGCGTCCGAGGTCCGTGTGATAGAACAGGACACAACATAGCAGATGCACGCTACCTGACCGTTGAATGCATCCGAGTGCGCATGGTCGTGTATGTACATGCGAGTGACGGTGACAGGTAACAAGATCAACGGAAATAAGGTGAATTGACTTTATTTCCCACCATGGTGCGAAATAAAGTCAATTGACATTATTACCTTTTCAAAAGCGAAATAAAGTCAACAAAAATTTTGAAATAAAGTCATTGACGCTATTTCCTCATTCAAATGGAAATAGTGTCAACAATGCTTAAAGTATGTCGATTCATAGAAAAAAATGTTGTTCTTACACTAAACATTGCCCCGTAAGTGTTGTTTTTTAATAGATGAAAAAGGTTATTGCCAAATCCTCAGTGTGGTGATATTAATCCACACACAATCATGAACTACCACCAATTGATTTTATTAAAAAAAATTTAAATTACGAATATGTAAAAACACGCCTAAACGCCTGCGCACAGCTGGAATACGAGAAATATTTGAAGAAAGAGTGTAGAAATGATCCATAACTTGCAAAACATGTTTGGTTTCCACAAAAATAAAGCGAACACTATTATATTGAAGAAACAGTCCATGTCCAAAAACCCCGGAGGAACACTGAAAGAATTCTGTGTTTTAAATTAGCATATTTTCAACGAATTCGGAATGTCTAAGGTGGAAAAGAAACCAACCTTTCTATAAGGAAACAATTATGGAAAAGAATTTTCTTACACTGTATTCATGTCTCCGCCAGCAATTTGTGGCGACATCATTTAAAAGCAGCTAAGGAGAACGACAACACTATTTATTAGATGGCACATTCAACAATTATTGATTATTTAATATCGGAACCGATATCATATAAGTTAATTGATTGGTTTTCACACACTTTTGAAACACAAATTATATGCTTTTTTACTGCAGACAAGTTGTTGCCAAAACACAGCAGAAATCTTCCAATCAGGGCTGCCCACTATCCTTAGTTATGAGGTGCGGATAAAAAAGTGCCAAAATGTGCCAAGTAGAGAAATAAAAGTGCCAAAAAGGTGCCATTCCTTTTAATCATTCACATTTAGCAATAAAATAAAACCACATTTTCAAAACAAAAGTGCAATGATAAAATAAGATAAACCAGTTGAATAGCCTTCAAAAATTAGAAAATTTTAGTCGAGAAAAAGAAGTGCACGCAAAGCACTTCACAAAAATGTATTGAAATGTTATTTTTTTTACAAAAGTGCCATTTTGGCACTTTGTGCCAAATTGAAAAATTAAGTGCCATTTGAAATAAAATAGGGACAAATGGCACGGTTTGAGCCAAGTTGGCATCCCTGCTTCCAATAACTTACAAATATAAAAATGTGAAATATCGAGGGCTTGAATTCATAAATACCCTCTATCTGCAATTTGCACAAAAACAAATTTGTGATTTTAGAAACCATCTGGGACTTTTTACCTGTCGTTATATAAGGTAGCATTAATATCACCGATGACAGTTGAAAGTGGATTTTTATATCAGAATCTCATCTTTGTGAAGTGTGCAGATAGAGGGTATTATTGAATATATTTAAGCCCTCGATGTTTAAAATATATGAAAATTTTATTTCAACGTATACAAAAAATAAATCTACCTGGGTTACAGCACGGCGAGAGACGGGGAAAGGGGGGCCGCGGCGTAGCGTGACGTGGTGTGCGCGCCGGCCGAGCGGGGTACGCGCGGTGTGGCGCGCTGACGCGGGCCGCCGCGAATCAATAAGAGCAATAATGTCAATGGATTTTATTTCGCGTTTAAAAAGCGTGAGTGACGGCATTTATTTACACTTGACAGTAATTTTGAACTCTAATTTATTATAACTCTAGCTTCGATTAAAATTTTTGTATTACTTCACACTATATATACTTACAGCTATGAAATAATCAAAAATAAATAACTTAATCTCTATATATGTATATAAAACAAAGTCGTGTTAGTTACACCATTTATAACTCAAGAACGGCTGGACCGATTTTTATGATATATGTTTCTTGAATTTTTCTACCTTCCGAATATCAGAATAACTATTAAAACAACCGCTAGGTGGCGCTGGAGTCAAGTTATTAGTAAAACCCGTATTTATGGTCCGATTCACCTCATGTTCGAGATATGTATTGACAATAGGGAAAGCAATACCATTGCAAAAAAGGACCCTCCAGGTGGCGTTGGAGTCGAGTTATTACTAAAAGTCGGGTTTATGGTCCGATTATCCTCAGATTCAAAATATGTATTGATAACAGGAAAAATGATATGTATATCTAACTAAAAATCATATTTATGCTCGAATTTATTTCATTATCGAAATATATGAATTCACATGCCGATGGTCCTCTGCAATAACGACGCAACTCAAAATTAAAAAAAAATTAGATCCCTTATTACTTTTAAGA